AGCTGGTTTTAAAATATGAAAGCAATAAATAAGTAACTAGACGTTGACTACACAGGACTTTGTATTCCTACAGTTTAAAGAGAATTTAATTTTTAAATTGCAGAATAGCTGACTGACCTTTACTGTATGATGCTTTTGCAAGTGGTCTGGGCTATTTTGAAACTAATCAAATTTTTCAATGATTAAACAATATGCAGTGCCTTTAACTTAGATTAGTTAGATTGAAACGGCTCTGTAAAAGAATTAAATGTATTTTGGATCAAAGATCAACTCTTGAAATGGTTCCTTTAATAAGAATTAAATAAAGACTTTCAAAGTATTATTAGCTATTTATTTCTACAGTGCTAGTCTAAGTATCCAGACTCTCTGCAAAAAATGTAAGTTGCCTTTACACAGACATTGAAATGTGGCCACCGCAGCTAGGCATGCAATCTAGAGGGCTAAGGCTGTAGGGTCTGAAGGTTTAGAGCTTTAAGATCTTCTTCATGGCCCGCTTGCCTGTGGCGCTGTTCCTTGATTTCAAATTTCAAACCTGTCCTGGCAGAAGATAACTCTGTGACATCTTTATTTAACTAATGGAATAATTCTAACTAGGGATTGCACTAAATTTTCCATAATTGCAAGTCTTTAAATCAAATTTGAACTTCTCTTGGAAAGAGTTATTCTAGCCCTAATTTGGGGTTTGATGCAGAAATGAATGAAAAAAATGATCTTTAAGGAGAGGGTGGCCTTTCCTCTTTTTCTTCCCTCCACAAACACTATATAAGCAATTCAGAGCAAGATAAAAATGCCTGCTGGGGTTAAAGCACTAAAATCTGTGAGAGAAATCCATGAAACTTATTACAGGTACAACATGTGCCATTTAAAAAAAAGCGTATCTTCCATCTGACGCTGAATAACCGCCTTATTATTGTGATTAAACCCTTATCTTGAACCTTACAACTTCTAAGAAACAGAAGAGTAATTGACAGTGAAGGCTGAACTGTTCAGTGCTTCTTCAAAACAATATCTGATTAAATAATGGCAAATACTTCTTTTTTAATGATTTTTCACTAGAAGGATTTTTCCCTGAATCCTAAACTAACTTAAAAAATATAATGCATCCGTTGTGCACATCACTGCTCCAAAGTGATGTGATTTCTAGTATGGCTCTGCAATAAAAAACCCAACCGTCTCTCAAACTTTTTCCGGTAAATACTTAAATTTTTTTGAAATTAAACCTAAAATAATAAGCCATGTCACTTATAATTTTGCTATCAGCTGACATACTGTAGGTTGAGTAATTTTTAACACATCTCACTCAGTTCACTTAGGTTTAAGTTAAGAAGCCAAATAATCTATGGATACCTGTTTGAATAACCACGTGGCAAGATCAGCTTCGGCAGGACTCTTTTTGGTTATGTTTAAAGCAAAGGCAAAACTTCATGCAAGAAAGAGGAACGTACCAGTGCAAGAAATTCTTTTTTCCCTCATCAGTTTGATACATGCAGACATGATTTAAGAGACTGGAAAAATATCCTTTGAATCTTGCATGACTGTGTAAAGAATTTTTCTGAAGTGATCTGTATTAATTATCTAGCTCATGATTATCATCCCTAACATTTCTTTTTTGTTTTCCCTTTTAGCTAACAATGCCAACGTTTCCTGTTGTCGTCAAGATTGGACATGCTCACTCAGGCATGGGAAAGGTGCAGATGCTATTTATTGCATGTTAGGAGCTTGGGTGTTTCTCTAAAATAATATGCCTGTTTTTTTACTTCCTAGATATTTTAGCTTTTCACCCATCTGAATTCTGTCTCAAATCCCTGCCCTCGCAAACCCCTGTCTGTCTATTGTTCAAGAAAGCACCCTTATTTAAGAAAATACTCAAAAACACATGTGTACATTCTCAGGCAGTTTATATGTAGGGGATGGTTTTGGGAGCACGTTGAGATGCTTTCCCAAAGCAGAACCTTATTTATTAATTTAGCTGACTGCAGTGAAACTATTTAAGAGTCCGGGTCTTTTGCACAATCCAGCTATGTGGGCCTGGGAATCTAGGAGAGTTTTGCTGTCATTCCCTCCTAGTTTCAGCTTGATACAGAATTTTTATTCATTTCCTGTCTTAGTGTATGCTCTATGGTTGTTTCATACCACTACATAACTGCTGCTTTCTTTCTCTGCAAGTAATTGCATTTCAGTGGTGAGTACAGTTGTTTTGATATTACTTATCTCACAATGATGGTTCAAGGGGCATGATTTAAATCCCACTTTCAGTGATATCAGTGATATTTTTCAGTTGTTATAAACTAACCACTTTCTCTCACTGAAGCACTCTTCAGAGTGCTTTAAGTGTTTTGGATTAAAAATCATCAGAGGATAATAATATTTAGCATCTTGAATCTTGAAAAGTTCCAGGAACATAACATTTGCCACCGAGCATTAGAAAACTGATTTAATTGCATTTTATTGAACAATGATGCAACTATGTTATGTTCTTTTGCCTATGACTGATTGTTTTAGTTAGTACTTAGTAAGTCAGTGGAAATTTGGCAGCCAACTTAATTGAGACCAGAAGTAATCAGCAGTCACTTAAACTGTAGTTTTCATGGACTGCATATGCGAAGAATTAGAAACCGTATTCGGTACTTGGAACATCACCATCTCATTTATAGTAAAGGGAGATAATGTACGTAAGTGTTCAGCAAACTGAATATCTAAAAAAAAATTATAGATTTTCCCGGATATAAAATAATTTAAATCCCTAAAGATGAAATGCCAGTCTTTTATAGTGAAATGCATAATGTCAAAGTCCAAATACAGGTTCTTCTCATACTCCAGTCCTGCCTAAAGACATCACTAGCAAGAGTGTTTGCATTTGTCATAATTAGACTAGTGTATACTATAAGGTTTTCAGAAAGTGGATTGAGAGCAGGCTGTGGGTCTGGTTTTGTGACTCTCAAATGGCAAATTACTCTGTCTTGTTCCCAGTTGAGAGTTGAGAGCAAATACTTGTGCCTTCTGCCTTCTGTTGGCTTCTCCAGACCTCCATTTAATATGCATGTCCTGTCCCACAGCTCCTTGCCTGTGGGTACGCTTGCTTACAAGTCCCCTTTTAAGTACCTGGGTGACAGTAGAAGCAAACAAGACGCTGGACTTGCAGAGTGTTGCAAGCATTCCTAATATTAGATAGCGTGAGAGAGGGATACTAATCCATGCCTACTTTCCTCGCCTTTCTGAAATGGTCTTTGGGTCAACGTCTTCGTAGAGTTACAATTTCCCTCTCCCATTTTCTACTAGACCTCTCTTCTAAGTCACTTTTTTCCTCACTTTAGCCAGCTTCTTTTGACTTGACTGAACTCACAATAGAGATGTGCCCTCTCTGTCCAAGAGTAATGCCTCTATCCCTCTAAGGTTTCCTTCTCCCTCCCCTGCCAAATCAGTATTTCCCACTTTTCTAGCACCCTCTTACTTTAAGATGTTAAAGTTTGGTGGGTTTAGTGCCCATTAACCATCTCGTACCGCTGTGTTCTGCATCTAGGAAATTCTAATCCTAGAAAGCCTGACTTCTCACAGAGAACTTGGGAAAAATGGGAAAAACTGGTTCTACTGTCTTGAGCCAACCCTCTGTGCTCCATGTGAACAGGCACTCATCAGGATGTCACGATTCTTCATCTTCTCTCTGCTAGGAGATACATGACTGATTGGATAGTACATGGTTGGCTCCATACATACTAACACATTCATTTATATGTCCAATTTAGTAAATCAACAAGAATTCTATATAGATCAAAGCAGAGTAAAATACTACTGTCTGCCAATTGCTTTCTACAGCAGAACAGGAAAATACTAATTTTGCCTAGAATAGATACTTTAAGGCAGGAATTTTTTTGTCATTTTTCTGGATAGAATCTAGAAATCAGATAAAATACCCAGTTCTTTTATATGAACTGATGCTATCAAAACCCATATTTCTCACAAAAGCCATTTGCAACTGAATTCTACATTTTGTTCCTAACTGCTGTTTTTTCTCTTGTATACGCTGTTTACTTGTGGTATGACGACTACAGATCAAAGTAGACAACCACTACGATTTTCAGGACATAGCCAGCGTGGTAGCGCTTACTCAGACCTACGCCACTACGGAACCCTTCATAGACTCCAAATATGACATCAGGATCCAAAAGATAGGCAGTAACTACAAAGCGTACATGTGAGCCAAAAACTTATGTTCTTTCATGTTTTTATTTCAAATTTGATAACAATCAACAAGATTAAGACTGTTGGATGAGTCTCTGAATTGCAATGTGATGACTCCATGTCTCCATTGTCATTCTCTGTGGAAAGAAGGTATTTTAGACTTTCTAGGTTTATCAAGGCATTTTTTTTAAATTGACTGTCATTGGGAGGAGGAGAATAAAACAACAGGTGAGCCTGCCACAATGGTTTTCCTGCTAACCTTTATTTATATTTTCATGTAAAGAAATGAGCAGTTGGAAAGGGACTTGTTTTTTATTGAGGAACATGTTAAATCGGATTCCTTTCCATCTTTTCACTCACTTACATCAAATTTTATTTTCCCTCTAAGGATATTTAGATGGCATTCATTCACACAAACCAGAATGATAACCTTACACTAATAGAAGAAAGTACTCTTCTTTTACTGTTACAGATGTAAGAAAAATTCTAATCTTGTAATGACATTCACATATATGGATGAAAATCTGTTCTAATTTTAGAAGAGCCACTGGAGGTTGCAAATACTTGTTAAGTGATCATTACTGTACCAGAGGCTAAAAGGGTGTTTCAGTTTCAGAGACAATTTTAACTAGAGCAGCAAGACAGATTGCCATATATCAGTTGAGCTATGGTAACTGCCTTTTTGCATATTTTTGCTCTATTTATTTCAATTATCAAACCATGTAATTTGACAAACACGCATTTCAGTTATGTTTAAGACAAGTCAGAACATCTCATATACTTGTTCCTTCATGCTTACAATTCTGATGCAAGAAAAATATACCAAAACATGGATAAAAATACACACACACACACACACACACACACACACACACAGAGTAAAATATTGTCAGATTCTTTATCAGTAAAAGTTACTGAACTCCAAGCAACCCATAAATATTAAGAGAAGCAGAAGCGGGAACTGGGTTATAGAAGAAGCATAAAATGTTTGTTAATATTAAGGGTAGAATAAGCAGTAGGTCTCAATTAATTTAGAAACAGTCAGCAAGCTGTATCAGAAACGTGGAGCACTTTGCCTGGGACAGAAGGAGGGGCAACATAAATTCGTTTAGCTTGGTATTGGAGGGCCACGTGCTACGACTTCTCCCCTATCACTTTGCTGTCACAGGATCAAAACTGTGTGAGTAACTCCTGGCCTCTCTTGACATACATTTTGGAAGAGTCTTTGAGAAAGAACATCAAGGCTTAGGCCTTTCAAGAACACCTCAGCAGTCCAGGTGCCTCACTGTACATCTGAGGGGCCTCAAGAAAGGACAACACAGAACAGGCTGGACATACTGATTCTATAGGTCAGATCCATCCAGCAGTCTGGACAGTCCACCCTTCTGCTTTACTTTGAACCCACAACTATCTAGATTTTGCCAAAACAGTGTTGGGAATTTGAGTTGTATTAAGTGACCAAGGCAGAGCATTGAAAGAACTTGCAAGGACTGAGAGGTCCAGAGGATTCTGGAATCCTTTTAAGTTACTGATTTTGAGGGTTTCTAATGAGGCAGGCCAGAAACTCTGTAATTCAAGCTCTGTCCAGAATTTCAGATGTATTGGGCCTACCCCCACCCCTGGCTGTAGGCATAAGGACCAAAAGCAAATGCTTCTGCATGATGCAGCTTTTAACCCCTGCTTCTCCAGGACAGTTAATTACAATTCCATGTGTTTGCCTTACATTGGTGTTCCAAACCGTTGACTAGCTTTAGCTCCATACCTGGAGACATCCGTCCTACTTTTTCTCAAATTGCCATAGGCTTAAACTCTAAAGACTTGTCTCTCCTGTGAGTTCAAACCATATCTTAGTCCCAGTCCTACCTCCTTTCCGGAACAACTCTGCCTTTCTACCCCCTTAAACCCTATCCTTCATTATTCCTTGCCCCAGGTTGTTTTCTTTCCCTTTTATTCTGCAGTCAGTCCCACTGAGCCTTGTTCTCCCTCTGCTTCCAGTTACTACAGCTGTCTTTATCTACCTCAGACCCTTTCATACAACAATTTATGCCTCTTCAAGGCTAAAATAATCCTTTTCCCTTTTGTTGGTATTTTGATAGGCAGATTTCTTGTATTGTGAATTACACATTTCTCGCCTTCCCTATTTATAATATTGAGCTGATTTGTCTCTATCTTACAGCTCTGAAGTGACACAGTTGTAGCAATAAGGCCCAACTGTTAATGGTTATGACACACTTCAAGGTAGCAGCAGAGTCAGATGCTATATTAGTAGCTCGGTGGTCCACTCCCTGTGGTAGAACTTGGAGCGCTGCATTTCATGGGAAAGGGCCCTACATTTTTTTCTTGACTTGAAATGAAAATTCTGTTCAGTCTTTAAAATAATTTGTAAGAATCAGCCATGGTATATTTATCATTTTTAAACATAAATGTTTCTTCTTAGAAGAAGAAGAAGCAGTTGGCCGAAGAGACAGCAAAAATAAGTTAAAATGACAGCACGTTCCTCCTACCTTTTATTGCTTTTTAGGGCTGTACTCCCTAAAAACTATGAGTTCATCCAAATGCTGAAAGCTTAACAATCCTTTTTTCTCTAGATTCTTTCATACACTTATATCACAAAAAAATGAAATAGTGATCCATTGTTACAAAGCATCATGAAAAGAGAATATTTACCTAATATCTGTAAAATTTTTCATGCGCATACATATACATTATGTCAGTAGTCTAGTGTTTTACAGCTGGTTCTCATTTTCTTCTGTGACACAGGAACAGAGTACTTAGAGAGTTACCACAAAAAATACCAGATGAACATTTGTTTTTGTAGTTTAAAGAGTTATTAAGAGCTTCAGTTTTATAATTCTGTGGGAAATTGTGGTATGAGTGGATCCATGACTCACAAAATACTGGTGCTTGTCATCTGTCAGTAGAGATTATAGCCAAAAGGCAACACTGGATCCCTCTAAATACCGCAGCTCCTCAGAAATACTAGTACCATTACAGAATTCATATGACTTCAAGGAAATAGAGTTAAAAGGCCCAAACACAATGGAAAAAAAAAAAAAAAAAGAAACAGAAATCTCCCTTCTATTTCCAAAACCAATACACTGAATCCATAACTATATACTTTGACCGAAAGGTCAATAAACAAACGTACAGCACCACATCTACCTTGTGTATGGATAGGCTACCTACACAAGAAGTGTAGGTAGTGATTTCTACATATTTTTCTGATAAGAAGTGACTGTCCAGACAATTTGGTATGAAGCAAGGCAGAGGGCGTTAGAAAGGGGCAAGCCCAAGTTACTACAAAGTGTTTAATGCTAATCATAATTCCTTCCCCACCTCCCAGTTTTAAAGCAGTTCTTCATATATTGCAAAGACTAACCCAAGTGAGAACATGTTAAGCGCAAATGTAATGCACTCAAACATGTTAGGAGTTGTTTTCTATATTATTCAGTAATTATTCAGTATTTAGTAGAAGAAGAGAAAATAATGATGCAAAAGCACATTTAGCTATTATCAGAACAGAAGCACAGAAGGGTGGGGGAACCTAAATATTTCCATGGAGGAAGTCATACATGAATGACAGGAATTGTATCTTAAGGTTTAAAAGGCCAGATGATCTGGTCTGGTACTTCTGCATGGTCTAACCAATCAGCTCCACCCCACAAGCTCCTTTGCATTTAAGAGACAGTGAAAATATAAAAAAGAGGGAGGATGTGAAGAGCTTGCCGAGATACTCCTGCTCGGTCTGTGTCCTAGCACTCCACTCAGGCCTTGTTTTGTTCCTACAGCATCATTAGAGCCAGCCATGCATCCAGTCTTGAGATTGCTTCAGATTAAACAGGGAACCTTTCAGGCTGTCAAGTGAAAACGTGTCTTAAAGCAAACCACCTTTTCTTCTGTACTCAGCTGTGCTGAGATTGCATCAGTACAGTCAAGGATCTTGAACTAGATACTTGCTAAAAGTCTTCAGGGTAAATTATCTTCTTTTCCTTTTCCCTTCCCTTCCCTTCCCTTCCCTTCCCTTCCCTTCCCTTCCCTTCCCTTCCCTTCCCTTCCCTTCCCTTCCCTTCCCTTCCGTCAAGTGAAAACGTGTCTTAAAGCAAACCACCTTTTCTTCTGTACTCAGCTGTGCTGAGATTGCATCAGTACAGTCAAGGATCTTGAACTAGATACTTGCTAAAAGTCTTCAGGGTAAATTATCTTCTTTTCCTTTTCCCTTCCCTTCCATTCCAATTAATCACATCTTGCTTCCTAAAAGACACCTTAAATAATATGGCCCTTGAGAAGTCTTCAACAGAGTTGGATTTTGACTTAGGAAAAGTATAATCTCTCTGATGCAGAATATGTATGTAGGATAGTAGGATAATGGGCTTAAAAATTAGTTGCTCTGTAAGTGCACACATGCAAATAAATATCAATTTAAAAAGTGAAACTGAAATGACAGAATAGCCTTATTACTGAAAAATGTTGCCTTACACACAGAACTCAGTGTGCACCTTCCCTTTTCGCTAGTTTCTCCCACATCAACAAAGAATATGCCACCTTAGAAGCACTTTATGCTTTAACATTCAGCTAACTTTACAAGACTCCCATAAAAAGGTCAACATTTCCCCGCAATTGCTATTGACCCTCATAATTAGATTAATAGAAAAATGGGGAGAATACCACTACTGCTACCTAGTATACGTTTAATAAATTACAGATGTTCCTGATATTTTACTAACTGGAGACAGTTTATAATCTGTATCCTTAGCCTATTCCCAGTATAGTATTTCTGTTTCAGAAAACAGTCATCTTCTCAGCCCTAGTAACAGTCCTAAAGTCTGAAAAAAAAAAAAAACTTTATGTGAAAAGATTGTATTTTTCTTAGAGATAAAATGAAAGATGGTAAATTTGAGCCTTGAAATAAAGCTGTTTAGATTACATGAGTAAACTAGCAAAGAGTGAGAACTGGATGAGAAACCAAAATGCAGCTCTAAAACAGGTCTAAGATCACACTTCAACTTTGGAGAAGTTACAAAGATACCCTGATTTAAGTATCGGGGCCTAACTCTCCAGTGCTATGGATCTGAAATGAGAACCTATAGCATATGAAGTAGGAGTATGCTATGTTACAGGCTATTCAGTTCATTTGCAGCTGATAACAGCTTATTGCTAACACTTTCACTTAGTCATAGCATTTAAAAAAAAAAAATCTTAAAGGAACAGCTAGAGGGAACACAAATTTCACAGCATTGTCATACTTCATAACATTCCTACAGTGAAGCGTTACTGGCAATTGCGATGCTTGTTAGAATTTCTTCACTTTTTAGATGACTTTATAATAATAAGCTACAAGATATGAAAAAAATGTAAATACTGCTACAGTATTCATGTGAAAATCAGGAAAATTTAAGAGAGAGTGAAAATATAAAAGCATTGGCTATCTTTGTAATATTTCCCCCCTTTCAGGAGGACTTCCATATCCGGCAACTGGAAGACAAACACGGGCTCTGCAATGTTGGAACAAATTGCTATGTCAGATAAGTAAGTTGAGTCTCGTGTATCACATTGCTGATGTGCAATTCACGGTAAATGAATGTTCATATTGGAAAAAGCCTTTGAATTAGATGAAAGAAATGAGCCAAGAGTTTCCATGTGAAGTTGTCCCAGCGTTAAGTACCCAAATTAAGTACCAGGCTTAGGTGCTTGAGTGCACACTTGGGTTCCTAAATCCACTGTGCACCTAAAAGACTCCTGGAATTCCCTCCAGAAAATCCCATTTTTCAGCTTCAACCTTCCAGTCATTTTCACGGGTTCACTTGCCCTCTTCTACCTAGTGGTCTTCCTTCTTCCCCCAGGCCGGAGTGATTCAAACTTTTCTCCTTCTATATCTCTTGTAACAAAGCAATCTGGTCTTAACTTTGCCTATTTAAATCATCATTTCTCTTTTCTACTTTCAGTCCAACTGAACTGCTGCTTTTTGTTTTCTGAAGCTTCCACTCAACTGAGTGAGTTTTTCCCCAAACGCTGGGATGTACTGAGGCTTATTTCCCTCATGTCATTATTCCAGCTCTGTACTTTGGCTTACTCTGTTTTTCTTTTCTCTTCCATCCTGATGCTGGATACTTTTTTGCAATCCAGTGAATCACATTCCCTGTGCAGTACCATTTTGAAGCTCAAACCTACTACAACAGACCTCTCAGTGTTGCTCATTTGCTCTAAGTTCCTCCACAGTACCTAGGCCTCTTTTTCCTGCAAAAGAAAGGTGTGACATTTTTTGCCAGCTATGACTTTTCTTTTGTTCAGCTTCTCCAAAGGTTTCTACCTGTGGAAGCTGAACAAACTCTGTATAATAAAAGTGTCATTTAAAAGGTGTTTTAAGTTCAAAAAAAATGTTTAAAGTTCCATAGTAATCTTTTTCTGTTTTTTTACGTCTGGAACCTACAACAGCTTGGTCCCTCTTACGAGCTGAGAGAGACATAGGAACTGAACCAGTGCATACTCTGAAAAAGTTGAAAACAAAGAAGAAGGGAATTACAACTCCCTGCTGTCCAGCCCCAACCCCTTCTGTCTAGACTGTGTCCTCAATCTGCGGATGGAGTGGAGCCACATCATTTTCTCATTCTCATTCCTCTCCCACCTTCCTTGAGAAAGTGAGGTTATGCCTTCACTGAGAGGAGAAAAAAAAAAAGAGTATTTTTTAGTGTGTATAATTATGGTATATGAACTATTCCTCTGTAAAAACACAGGAACTTTAGTTTTGCCATTAGAAAAACTAAACGATATCAAGTATGGGCAATGAGTATAAAATGCTAACCTTGCCTAGCTACCTCACTGTAAACACTTTGTTTCCGCTTCCATTTTTGAATGGAAGACAATTAAAGCATAACAGATACTTTCCCATAAAAACTAACCAACAAAACAAAACAAATCTTCTTTTATGCTGATGAAGACAAAAGCATAGAAAAGGTGGATGTCTTCTCATAGCAGAAAAGGGTATGGTATCATTTGCCCATGTTTTTTGTTTGATTCCACTCTGAAATGTGCGCAGCAGAGCAAGAAAGAGAAGGGAAAAGTGAACTTTCTGAAAAAAGTTAAGTTTAAAGTCTTACCAAAAGTAATCAAATCTGGCATATGTGCATTTCAGCATGTTTTTAATACATCTCATGATTTAAGAAAAAGCGTTTTGGAAGCTTAACACTGCTGGAGTTGACAGTGTTGACTGAACAGAAATCTTAGGCCAGAAATGCAGAAAAGAGCAAAATCTGGAGCAGTAAAAGACAATGACTAAGCAGAGAATTAGCACATTTCAGTGTTACGTATTCTTATTGACCATGCATTTCAGACAGGCACCGCTCCCCAGATAGGATTGGAAGAATATAGACTTATTCTAGTTACGCACGTCTTGCCTGGCACCCCAGATGTTCAATGTCAGACACCCATGGCACAATACTGTATTATCAGTCAGTTCTGAGGATGCTGCGCACTATATTGGCTCTGGGAGAATGAGAACTGTGACCTCAGGTCAAACGTACTGTGCAAGCCCGGAGTTTCAAACACATCAGGCTAGTCCAGCCAAGACCTCTCTTTCCAAATGTAACTGTTGTTTTCAGCTCTATGTGTGTTCGCAGCAAATAGACTATTAAAAATGCTCTTCATTCCATCTGATTGATACTTCAGGATTTTAAAGATAACATCTTCAATTTTTTCACATAAAGTCCAGATATTTACTATGAAACTTTTTCAGTCCTCATGACTTACTAAGATGCGCCTTGGTATTTTACACAAAAAAAGTTGTTTATAAGCAAGTGCATGCAAGCAGTCCAATCAGCCAGTGCATCTACAGATGCTGAAACTGTCAGGAATCCAAAAAAAACTCTCTTTTTGGACAAAAAAGTATTTTTCTCACAGGAGAAAAAATATTTTGTTTGCTAAAATGTTACCATCAGGATTTTTTCAAACAGTTGTATCAATTTCCATGTGTTCTGCTTAAAAGACAAACTTTTCCACTGCAGCAGGCTTGATGTAAGAAAAAATAAAGAATGTGAACTAATAAGTTTACTTGGAAAGGATGCTATCGCTGAAGATATTTATGTATGAATAAGACCTTTATTCCTCACAGACCAGCCAGTAGTTTCCTTTGATCCTACAGTGAAGTCAAATGCTATGTTTATTAGATCAGTTTTTTGCAAGGGAAAATACTATGAGGTGGCAAATTCATCATCATGGCTCAAAGGCTGGATCATGAAAGAGCTAGAGATGGTCTGTAAAAGGAAATGGCAAATAGTAGTGAATGCAAGAGAAAAGAATTTGTGATAAAGGAGTGCTTTGAACTGATTTTTTGGAGGAAAACGGCCTTCAATTGGTAGAACTGTGATATGTGGCTATATAACCTCTTTCAAGATTGTATCATCACTTACTGCTGTCTAGGCACAGCTATGCTATTAGTTAATGGAAGTTCTCAAAGCTATTTTGTGTCTATGAGCCAATGCTTGCCACTGAGCAAACATAACACAACTTACATCACCTCAGCATGCTCTCAGTGAAGTATTACAGCTCCCTGCTTATGTCACTAACAGTTCTGTACTTGATCACAAGAATCGCCTCACTCTTTTTCTAATAAGTCCCGCTTCATTCCCGTGTTAGTCAGATAATCTCTCTCTTCACAGGATAGGGCTTAATGCAAGAAAAGTAAATCACAATGCTGCTTGTAGAAGGGGTAAAATGTCCATTCCTCAGTCCATATTTCTTACAACCAGGTTAGAAATGAAATGCAAGAGCTCGTATGTTCAGTACTGTATGAAAGGCTATCCTTTTGCAGGATTTGTAACCATTCCTCATAATCTTTGCAATTTCTGTTGAATTTTAATGTATTTGTCTGTAACCCAACGTGAAGAATATTATGCTTGGCTGCGTGCTGCACACCTTTCACATAAAAGCGTCATGCAGCACGTTTCTCTCGTATCATCTTGAGGGTTGTTTTGTCTTACTTTTTCTTTTGCCTTGTTCAGCGATGTATTTATAAAGCAATCAGTGCTACTTTGGATTCCTGCGTAAGCATTACTAAGCGTGAATCAGTAATTTAAGACAGCGACTCTCATTCTAATTTCCCAGATAAGAGAATAAAAAGCAGCCATAATTAAGTACTCCACCAAGCCTAATAGGCAGGAGGCCTGTAACACTTGGATTTGTGCACAGATACACAAATTTGAATTTCACAGGAAAGTAGAAGCCCTGTCGCCTACTTTCTACAACTCCTTGGCATCATTCAAGTCATAAAATTGGTCTGATGATAAACCTCCCTTCTGCGGAGTTCTCAAATAGCATTTAGCCCCAATTGTCAAGTTGTACTAGCATAAGGGCAGTGGAAACACAGCATGGGATATTGCTATGTGCTATTTATGTTGCAGCATATCTGATCTTCAGGTTACTCACAGTTGAGAGCAGACGCATATTTGGACCAATATAAGCTGGGACTGAAGCCAGCGTAACACTACGTCAGGATATTGAGCCACAGCTTTTACGGACTCTACTGGGAAAAGCAGAGTAACTGGGCCAGTATCTGTAAGCTGCTATTCTGGGAAATGCAAATACTGTGAAACTGATGATATTGTGAAAATTCTGAATTTGAAGCAAGCATTATATAAAATACCTTATTAGGTTAAGCCTGTATAAAAACAAGAGACTGATGACATACATACTCAAGGAAAAAATTATTTTTATAAAACAGGTACAAGCTTTGGGTTGACACCTGTTCTGAAATATTTGGTGGTTTGGACATCTGTGCTGTTAAAGCTGTACATGGAAAGGATGGAAAAGATTATATTTTTGAGGTAAGCAATCCAACTCTTTTCAGTATATGCAAATACAAAACTTTTGTAATGGCTGGCTTGTTTGTGTTTCAGGAAAGGCGGTGTATTTTTGAGCAATGTTTAAATCGTAATACAAAGCCACATGTCCAAGTTAGTGGCAACACTTGCTGGAAAATGTAACCGTATCATATGGTAATGTTTTTTACTGTCTGAGGAAATGTTCACAGACTACAAAACAAAACCAAATGTAGATGTCATATTTTCCCAACCCTTATGATTTCTTTCCTGAGCAGGCTTACCAGTCTTTTCTGGAAGACTTATTGACAGCACTGTCCCAAGGGAACCCCAACAAAATTATACCTTTACATGGAAAGGGAAATTAAAAATGAAGAGGAAACAACTTTACTTTTTTCCAGCCTAAATATGACCTTTAAGATCTGATTTCTCGTGAACCACCAATGCTAGAAGATGATGCTGTAGATCATTTGGAAAAGTTTAAGTTTCTTATTTACTTTAAGTTTATTATGAATAAATTTAACTCTGTCTAGCCATAAGAAAAGCTATCATAACTTGCATATCACACAATTCAGGATTTATTCAGCATCATCCATATCCTTAGAATTTTATTCAGACTGTAAAGATTTACAGAATCACCCCATTCCAAAATAGATTCATATTTGCTAAAGCAAAAGCAAGAGTATTTTTTCCAAACTATGGCAATAATCTGAGATCCCAAAGGAGATTTTGGCTGGACCCTCTGTAGTTACGTGTTTCCATTTATAACGTTTTTGTGCATACATACATGTATCTATTTATGATGTAGAAGTGTACATTTTTGTTTTGTCACAATGTGAAACAGCTCTGCTTATTTTCTTGTCCAGTTTCACAAAGAAGCAGCACAAATTTATTTATCACTATTGCAAGTGCTAAGATATCCCAAATCAATCAACAGCAATTTAAAAGGCTCAGCAGCTTGCAGAAATAAACCGTCAGCAAAACAATTAGCATTAATTAGCTTCTGAGATACTGAGGAAAATTTCAGGAAAACCCGTTTCTTTGTCTGCCTAGCCACATTAGAATTTCTTGTATCTTATTTTATCAGGATGCAGGAAGTATTCCATACTAAACCTCCTTTTCTAAGGCCTTGACATACTTTAGTATGTGTCCCAAAAAGTTCCTGTTCAATCTCTAACGCTTGTCCCAGTGAAATCTGACTGAGATTTGAAAGAGTGAAAAAATAAGTTTTCCTCTTCCTGAAAATAGGCCCTTCTGACTTCTGATGATACAATATAGAGGAAATTCCTGAACATAACTTTTGTCCTATATGTCACTTCGCTGTTTGCCTGTAGCCGTGGGTATGTCTCAGACATCTTCTGCTTCCTGGGAAGGTACTGGTGTCTGCTTACCAATAAGCTCATCTCCAGCAATTGGTCTGTGACAGCCTCACACATGTCATTCAAAGCTTTGTAGGATATTCTGCAGACCCAATGACCCCTAAATGTCTCAGAGGATGAGTGTCTCAGAATTTTCTGCACACACCAGTTTATTTGAATTCATTACATTTGAAGTAGTTCATGCTGATTTGGCTGACTTTAACCCAATAAATTATGAGCATACAATTTTGAGCATACAATTGAGCATACAATAAAGAAATGTGAATTACTTTAAGATGTAAGATCATGCTAGTAGTTAAAAGCCAAAAGAGTGTATTCCAAAATATAAAACTAGACTGGGATTGCATTTAACAACTATATTCCTGGAACTGGAGGTTCAAGACGTAAATCAGTGTTGTCTCTTATAGACTTTAGCTAAAACTAGTCTGAGGAATGACTGGCATCAACCCACTCTACATAGTTGCTGCAACTGATCTCTTTTATTCCCTACTCTCCTTCCATGCGGCTGTTTCTGTACAAATATAATTGAACCTTTTATGCTCCCAGTGGAAATGAAGGATGTCTCCTCTATTTTAACATTTGACTTCTCTGTTGCATTCCTCAGTTAGCAGATTCCTGTCAGACTAAATGAACTTCACTTTCATTCACTGAGCTTCTTGACTGTTTCAACATTTTTGATATTGAACGATAGAATATCCTACAGATCATGTATCATGAGAAATAATACTCATACATACATTCCTACTTTTTGAAAGAGACTACACAAAACACATTAAAAATGCAGGTGACAGATTAGGTAATAGACTGTTTTGTCCACCTTGCCTCTTCCCTACATACTGTCAAGCTTTAATGTTTCTCCGACTCACTCCATGAACATACTGAACAATTTTTCAAAATCGTGAGCAAAGCCAGCAAGCATCATCAGCTTCCACATAAGTCAGTGTATACACATTAACTTTTTACATCAGGCCTGGGTGCTCTATTTGGTAGGAGGAGAAGAGGGAACAGTTTTTCAATAACAAAATTGCTAGTGGAAATTACATAATGGACAGAGTACCTTAATTCCTGCTTCTGAAGAAATGCCCTAGTTTTCCATGCCAGATACGTTCATGCTTTTAGAAAAACAGAATTTTGGGAACTGCAGGATACATCAGGAACTGGCTTTATAGAGCATGTTCAGTAGTGTGCATAACAGATGTTGCAATTAAAAGACAGAGTGGATAGAAGCATGATAATTCTTGCTGTGCTACAGAATCAGCTGAATTCTTTGGAAGACTGTAATGCTCATCAACAAGAATATTTAGAATCTGTATAACCCATTGAAATATATATAACTGTTTGTAAATTCACATCCACCAGAACATCTGTAAAACTTACTATCAGTTGATACTAAAAAGCCAGCTTCCATCAACAGTTACCACAGTATAATTCCAATAGTTATCACACTGTAATTCTGTGTTATAATAAAAGAGCAGAAGACTGCCTGTACCAGTAGAGGACAAATTTGTCTTTTGTGTAATTTCAACATGAGAAAATAATGGTCTCATTAAAACTAGCACATGCATGCTGCAATCAAGAACAAGTAGCTGGGCAGGACAATCAATCTGTAAATACTGGCTTTATACTTCAATTGCAGTCCCATACTGAAATCCATGCTCTCACATTTCCATGGTGATTGCTACACCTATTAGAAACTAAAGCTTTCTGTGTTATTGTTACCTTCATTCCGCAGATACGATCTGGCAAGAAGCATACGAACTTCCTAATGTATGAAATAATGTATACCGATATGATCCTGATTTTTAATTTGGGACATTCAACCACTGTAACCACCAATAGGAAAGCATGCATATATTTCAGTCAGCTTAGAAGAGTGAAACTGATTTAGGGTAGAGTTCTACTGAATTATCCTTCAGTTCAGTATTCCGGGCAGAGACGAGCTTCAGTGGGATTTTCTGCAATAAAGTTGGGAGAACAGCATTTGACAGGAGTGAGTCCTTCGTACACATTTATATCCCGACAAAGGTGTTCACCAAGAGCTTTAGGACATGTATAATCCAATACAAGAGCTTTAAAATACTCAGAGTGCTTAAGAATTACATGTAATACCACTTCCTCTGACAAAAATCCTTTCTAAATTAATATTAAAATGTGTAACATTTAAATGACTTCCTATATGACTATTTCTGGAAGGTTATTAATGAATTTCATATTCTCCTTTGCTTTTGTATCCCATATCAATAATTTTATTATTTTAGTAATGTAGCTGTTCTATTGCTTTGTGATGGTCATTCTGTCATTCCTTGTTTTAACATTCAGCTTGCTTTCATTCCCCCAAAACATGGAGCAACAAATTTAGTCTCGTATTAGAGATACCCAGTGTCTGATATTAGAGAATCAGTACAACAGTGTGTCTCATTAATCTAATGTTCTGGCGGTACTTCTTCAAAAACACTTTAAAGTGTTTCTTTATTGATCTAATATGGTACACTTACATTGCAGGTAAGAATGTGTTGCTTCTTAATGGTAGATCAGATCATCATGCCCCACTCTTCAATATGGTAGACTTTTTTTTTTTTTCTACTTTAGATTTGCTAAATTTTAGATTTATCTCATAGTTTATTTTCTATATAAATTTGATTTGAACAGTGAGAATGTTTACATAACTTACTCTATTTTAAAGCTTCATGGCCATTCAAGTTACAAAAAGTGTGTTTGCTGTATAAGTAGAGACATACCTGATAAGAAATAATATGTAAGGATTATACAACTAAACTGAAATAAAAAATTTGAAGGATGTTTAGTAATACTGAAGTATAGCTCTAGACACTTATTTTCTGCATACATAAACCCTCTTATGAAACAGAGAAATGTACAGATTCTTATTACTAATAGCTTCTTGTAAATGTCTCCCTAGCAGGATGTGCATGTTCCTTTGACCATGTAGTTCTCAGTGTAATAACAAATACCAAGAGATTGCAGTGTAAGTACAACTTCTCACATTTTATAGATTTGGGTGCCAGCTATCTGCTCTCCAGTGCTACTTTGTGCACCAGTCAGTACCTTCTTACTTTTCCAGCCACCCTTTGGACTTCTAGTCAGCTGAACGCGCTGAAGCCAATATTACTGTTATTTTCCAAACTTTAAAGGAAACATTTTCAGTGTACCATCCATCTTTTCCTTCCTGCCACTGAAGGAGAAGGATATTGTATTAATGTACTTGGGCCACCTGGCTGATAATAACAGTTCTTGGTTGCTCTCAGGCAAAACCATTCTCAGCTGCCTTGGTATGGTGCAGGGTTATTTCTGGCTCTCCACAGAATAGACAGATTCATTGTTTTGCAGATGTTTCAAGTGAATCAACCTTGCACCTAGGAAAGCAAAACATACTGCTGTAAACAGTACTCCCTTGGGAGTTGTGAAGGATGTCCATGTCCATTTGTGCCTTTGTGTTATGCAGTCGAGAGATATCTTATGCATCCCCAGGAAAAAAAATTCAGATCAATTTATTTGAAGACAGGAAGGACAAAATATTGAAGTCATAATACTGTTCAAATACAATACAGCCTCTGTTTTTCTGTGAAACATTGTTAAAAGCTCTCTACAGTTTTCTTAGATAGTGGCTGT